GACAGCCAAAACAATCAATCCTGAACAAACAGGACAGTGCTGGGAGGATAACCATTCCAGATCTTAAGATACAGTAGAGGGCCACAGGAATAAAACCAGTATGGCACTGACACAAAGCAGACATGTAAACTAACAGAACAGAACTGAAGACCCAAACATAAGCAGACATAACATCAGCTACTTCATGTTGCCAACGAGGCCAAAGATATCTGTGGAGAAAAGAAAGCATCGTCTTGGAGTTGGGAGAACAGGTTGTTCACAAGCAGAATGAAGTTAGACAGGTATCCATCACACTGCACAAAAACTAACTCCAACTGGATCGAACTCTAACCCTTAAACTGCCAGAATAAAATAAAACAGCGTCCTACTTATGAAGGTGGAGACAGGACTACATCTCCTAAGAAGTCAGGACAACTGACAAGTGGGACTTCACAAAGCTAAGAAGCGCATGCACAGTGAAAAACAACCATCTGGGCTGAAGAGAAGGCTCCATGCATAAGAGCACTGGTTGCCCTGAGTTTTATTCCCTGTTCCCACGTGGTAGCTCACAATCATCTGGAACTCCAGTCCTAGGGGATCTGACACCTTCTAATTTCCGTGATGAAACCATCTGATATCAAGCTCTGGCCTCCACATACATGTGTATGAGCACCCCCCTCCCACACACACACCTTACGCGAATACACATGAGCGCGAGCGCGCGCGCGCACACACACACACACACACACACACACACACACACACACACACACACTGACCGGGAACTTGGGATATAGGTGGTAGAATGGTTGCGTAACATTCACAAAGCACTAGGCTTGGTCCCTAATACCACATAGTCTGGGTGTGGTGACACAGGCCTATAGTCCCGGCACTCTGTCTGCAGAGGCAGGTGGAGTTCTGACCTTGAGGCCAGCCTGGTCTACAGAACAACCAGGGCTACAAAAAGAAACCCTATCTTGAAAAATGCCACCACCACCACCACCACCACCACCACCACCAACAACAACAACAACAACAAAAACCAAAAACCAAAATGAGAAGTTTGAGGTCATCCTGAGCTCTACAAGTTGGAAGCTAGCCTGGGTTACCTGAGATACCCAGATAACAACAACAACAACACCCTGACAAAATCAGATATAAATTTACCTCCAGACAACTTATATAGTACTAAAAGTTTACTGGAAGACATATGAATCAGGCAAGGCTTACCTTGAAACATGCTAAGCATGAGCCCATGTTCTCAGTTAATGTCCATCCCTTACAGGATCTGCTCACACCAGACTACCTATTCAAACACTGCTGACCGATGACATCACTGGTGACATCATCATTAGGCGCCTTGGTAGGGGGAGGGATAACATAACCATATTCACAGGGTTTGAAAGTTAAATATTCCAAGGCCTGACAGTTTTGATAGCCAACAGGACTCTGCATTTGTTTTCTAGTAACTAAGAGACCCCAAATTTAGTTTGTTAGTGTCGTGCCTTAAAACTTTTTTCTAGGGGCTGGAGAGATGGCTCAGTGGTTAAGAGCGCTGACTGCACTTCCAGAGGTCCTGAGTTCAAATCCCAGCAACCACATGGTGGCTCACAACCATCTGTAATGAGATCTGATGCCCTCTTCTGGTGTGTCTGAAGACAGCTACAGTGTATTCATACGTAATAAATAAATAAATCTTTAAAAAAAAAAAAAAAACTTTTTTCTAGGGCTGGAGAGATGGATCAGCGGTTAAGAGCACTGACTGCTCTTCCAGAGGTCCTGAGTTCAATTCCCAGCAACCACATGGTGGCTCACAACCATCTGTAATGGGGTCTGATGCCCTCTTCTGGTGTATCTGATCACAGCAACTGTGTACTCACATTCATAAAATAAATCTTAAAAAAAAAAAAAAAACTTCTTTCTAGGTCAAAAGAACCCACAAGTTCGTGATTGTTCGGTCTTCTTTATCTTGCATTTAAGTTTTCTTCTTTGCCCATGCACATAATTTTTTAAAAGAGATGTAGGAAGTTACAGATGATGTACCTTTGGTAAAGATGATTAAAGAGAGAACGTGTTTAGATGAGAAAGCCCATCCCATGTGTGCATGTGTGCATGAAGGCAGAGATGGGGGTATCCTGCTCCATCACTGTCTTACCCTTTGAGACAGGGTCTTCTCACTGAATGATTTCTCCAGATAGGCAAGCTAGGCCGTGAGCCACAAGGATCCTGAGGTAAAGAGTGCACGGAGCAGCTGCTGTGTAGTAAGGAGTGTGTGGGGCAGCTATTCCTGGCTTTTTCATGGGGTTGCTGGGGGATTCAAACTCAGATGCTCTTGTACAGTACACACTTGTAAGGCAGGAGCCACTGGGAATCTCCCCAGACCTAAAAAGGGGTTTTACTTTAGATTTTTTTTTTGAGACAGGGTTACGTGTGTAGCCCTGGATACCTTCAAACTCACAGAGACACACTTGCCTTTGCCCTGCTGAGTGCTGGGATTAAAGACATGTGCCACCATCACCGGCAAAAAGATTTTAGGTTGTAGTTTGGTCCTAAGAATTTTTCAAACTAGAAATAGAAAAAAAACAGGACAAAAATCAAGCTTAAACACATCACAAAACATCTGACTATTAAAAAAAAAAAAAAAAACACCGGCCGCTGGTGGCGCACACCTTTAATCCCAGCACTTGGGAGGCAGAGGCAGGAGGACTTCTGAGTTCGAGGCCAGCCTGGTCTACAGAGTGAGTTCCAGGACAGCCAAGACTACACAGAGAAACCCTGTCTCGAAAAACCAAAAAAAGACTGTATAAAAGATAAACCTGAAAGGTCTTGTGTGTGTGCACAGGCATGTATGCTATATTGCATGTGGTCTGATGTCCCAAGGAACGACACCCTCTACTCCAGATTGCCAAAACTGTCTCAAGCTTGAGCTGTCTCATGCTCTCCTTAGGCTGGACAGGTTGAAAGTTTTGGTCCCTGCACAGGTAGGGTCTGCACTCTCCAACACCAAAGCAGTTCTAGAAAACAGAATTTTTAGCCTTAAAAGTCTCAAAGTGGGAAATTACAACAGGAGAGAAAGACAACAAAACTTTTGGGAACATGGGAAGGAAAAAGGAGAGTGGCTAAAGAATCAACTAGCTGATGATTCAAGGCCCTGGCCACCAAGTCTGAAGGTTGTCCCTGCACGCACGCACGCACGCGTATGCACACATATATAAATGGGAGGGAGGGAATTCCAACACAAGTAACTGTATTTTGTGTGAAGACTATCAACATAGAAAGACTATCAAAAAAAAAAAAAAAAAAAAGCCGGGCAGTGGTGGCGCACGCCTTTAATTCCAGCACTCGGGAGGCAGAGGTAGGCGGATTTCTAAGTTCGAGGACAGACTGGTCCACAGAGTGAGTTCCAGGACAGCCAGGGCTATACAGAGAAACCCTGTCTCAAAAAAACAAAAACAAAAACAAAAAGACTATCAACAAAGAAATAAAATTCTTTTACATAGAGAAGAATGTTAAAACAGTAAGCATCCATGTTGAAAACCCAAGCCTACGTTACCTTCAAATACAGCCTTTCTTCTTTCTCAGGTATTTTCTGCTAATCCCCAAAAACAAGGCTAAATTTTTGTTTGCAGTTAAAGAATCTTAATCTCTGAAACCTTTGGGACCTCAGAGTAATCCCATGCACGATCCACGACTTGTTGTAAGGTTCCTTAAAAACTCTGCTAAGTACAACTTCAGGCGCCACCAAAAACACTATAGTTACTGTAAAGATAGCTATGATCCCTTTGAGAAGCCTGAACCCTGCTCTCAGGTGTCTTTCTTTCCTGAGCACACCTCATTTGGACTTAGTCCCTGTGGATGTTGAAGACCTTTTAATAAACTTCAACTCTGTTTCATAATAACTTACCTTGAATTCTTTTTCTGTGGCACAGTCAAAAATCCAGCTTTAAGATGGGCTGTGGTGCAGGGCAGTGGTGGCGCACACCTTTAATCCCAGCACTTGGGAGGCAGAGGCAGGCAGATTTCTGAGTTCGAGAGTTGAGGCCAGCCTGGTCTACAGAGTGAGTTCCAGGACAGCCAGGGCTACACAGAGAAACCCTGTCTCGAAAAGCCAAAAGAAAAAAAAAAAAAAAAAAAAAAAGATGTGCTGTGGTGTTGCACACCTTCAATCTTGGTGCTTGGGAGGCAGAGGCAGGCAGATCTCTGAGTTCGAGGCCAACCTGGTCTACAGAGTCCCAGAACAACCAGGACTACATAGTGAAACCCTGTCTCTAAAAAGATAAAATTTTAAAAAATTCCAGCTTTACCTAAGCTACGACTCCTGAGGGGAAGAAAACTCCTTCAGCTGCTCCGGAAGTGTGGGGCAGTGGTCTCCACCCATCGCCATTACCGGCGCCATTTTTTTTTTTTTTAGGCAGAATCTCACGTAGCCCATGCTGGCCTTACTATGTAGCCAAATATGGCCTCGAACTCCTGCTCTCCAACTTGCCGAATGCTGGTATTTCAGTTCTGAACTAGTATACGTGCCTTTGCCACTTTTTAGACATTCTCAAGTTTCCAAAGACAGAAACCCTGGAGGAGAACCTTAAAACAAGTCTGTTGTAAGAGGAAGCTGCTTGTGGACTTCTTGTCCAAGATCTCCCGTCTCTTCCCAACAAGGAAGTAGTCAACCTTGAGCCTCAGTTCCCAACTGCTCGACTTCCTTAGATATCCCTCGCCCGCCCTTTCTTCACGTGAATCCAGACATAGTCACGCATACATATACAGTCTCCCCCGCCATCCGGATGCAAGGGCCCTACAGAGTTGACTCTTCTTAGTCTTTTTTTTTTTTTTTTTGCAGTTCTCCCATATCACTCGCTACTCCAAAGCAAAGGGGGTAAAAAAAAGTCCGCCCAACACGCAGCGGGTGATTTTCTAAACTGTACAGCCGCCCTCCCACCTTTCAAGATCCAGCCTTTGTTATTGAAAAGGTAACTTCGGGGGTGGGGATGGGGTTGGTGGGGGGGGGGGGGGAAGTATCTCACCTCATGCTATAAGCACCAGCACCCAGTTCCTGGCCAATGCCCGACAGGCTAGCATCAAAGTCCTGCACCAGCCCCGACTCGATCACTTCGTCAGCTAGCGGCAGCTTCAGAGCCCAGGCCATCCCGGCTCCTTCTTCGCCCCAGCCTGTATAAAGACGTGGAGCGTAACTCTACCCCGCAGGGACAGCACAGTAGTAGTCAGCTACAAACCCAGCTCCTCGCGCAGCACACCGCGCCTGACCTACGGGCTGCACCCTGGCTACTCTCCTCAGGTGCCCCGGTGACAGCAATCCCTCCCGCTCGGCTCTCGGAGGCGTGCGGCGCCGGGTCCCGCCGAGGCTCAGCCGGACTCGGGCTCTCCGAAGCCCACCGGTCGCTCAGCGTCCTCCACTCAGCCTCAAAGCGGAGACACGCGCAGCACGCGTCCGAGCGTCCCCTCCGCCCCCTTCCGTGGAAAGCTCCTCCCTCTGGGCATCCGCACTTTCCCTCAGGCCTCGCTTCCGGTCAGTCAGATAACTTCCGGTCACCGATTCTTTTTTTCCCCCCCCTACTCGACCCTCAGAACAAACCCAGGGTTCTGCGAAGTCGTCCCCACGCCCTCCTCAGCCCCCACGACCGCCTGGAAACGTGGGCAGCGAAAGTTCGGCGCAGACGCCAAGCGCAAACCCGCCCCAGCGCCAATCAGAACGCCCTCTGTAGCCATAGCGTGACGTCACCGTACCACCAACCAATAAAGAGGAGATTGGCTCTGCCTCCGCAGCGATGATAGGCTATCGATGCGAAGGCTCCCGCCCAGAGTGGTGGGCGGGCTCAGTGCCTCGGTGTAAACCCGTGTCGCAGGCTCCGGTCCTGACAGTCAAGCGGAGCAGCGGTTCTATCTTTCCGTAGCCAGCTTCCATACCCGGAGGAACTTTCGTTCCCGGGTGTCCCGTCCTAAAGTGTCATATTTGCCTTCCCTTATCTTCACCCTTCTCCCTAATGCGTTCGCCCAGAAGACAGGGAAAAGTGTTGGGGGTTTTTGTTGATGTTTGAGTAGCTTTAGCTGACCCAGAACTGAGAGATCCACACCTCCCAGCCTGAGTGCTAGGATTAAAAACATGTACACCACGCCTTGCTTATTGTTTTTGTTTTGTTTGTTGTTTGTTTTAGGCAACCGTGAATGAGTGTTGGGGAAAGATCTGCACAGCAAAGTCAGGGCTGGCATCTTTATAGTTTAATAACTTAAGAGTAATCGCCAAGAGATTGAATTTACTAAATTGTAAGTAAAAAAAAACAACCATAGCCAGGCATGGTGGCTCATACCTTTTATCCCAGCACTCCACAGAGAAAGAGGTAAACAGATCTGATTTTCAGATGAGCCCGGGCTAGATAATGCTGACCCTGGAGCAGGAGGAAGACCTGCTCCACCTTGTAATTCCTTGTATGCCTGTAATTCCAGCACTTGAGACATGAGGATCATGACTACTTGCAAGGCCAGCCTGGGTTGCATAGGAAGTTGGTGTCTAGCCTGCACTGTAGAGTGAGACCCTATCTCCAAAAGAAAAAAAATAGGAAAAGAAAAAAGGAACAAAGAAAGAGAAAGAAGAGAGAAAGAGCCAGGCAGTGGTGGCGCACGCCTTTAATCCCAGCACTTGGGAGGCAGAGGCAGGCAGATTTCTGAGTTCGAGGCCAGCCTGGTCTACAGAGTAAGTTCCAGGACAGCCAGGGCTACACAGAGAAACCCTGTCTCGAAAAAAAAAAAAACCAAAAAAAAAAGACAAAAAAAAAGAGAGAGAGAAAGAAAATAAAAGGGGGTGAAGGCTGGAGAGATGGCTAAATGGTTAAGAACGAAAACTCAGTCTGACGGTGGTGGCACACACCTTTACTCCCAGCACAAGGGGCACAGAGGCAGGGGATCTGAGTTCAAGGCCAACCTCGTCTACAGGGTAAGTTCCAGGACAGCCAGGGCCACACAAAGAAATGCTGTTGGCATATTTGTTTAGCTAGTTTATTGGGTTCTTATACCTACCACCCTTCCAACCCTTATTCCACCCTGATCCCTTCCAACCCCACAACACTAGGTAGGCAATAAAGGTGGTTAGAGGGGGAGGGAGCATAGACATCTTTAGGCTACTTCCTGTTGATTGGGGCGTTGTGTTCCTTGGGGCAAGTCCAATCTCTGTTATTAGAATATCTAGCAATCTAGCAATTCAGCAATAGTAAACCAGCAACCTAGCAAAACCACTGGAAAAGGGGCAGCAGCTACAGGCCCTCTTGAGGGCTCTCCCATTTATACCCTCTCCAGAGACCCCAGAATTAAATTATCAGAAGCTGACAAAAGTCATGCCCCTGCTAGTGAACGAGGCAAATCATAATCACCTGCTGTGAAGCAGCCTCTTATCCCACACCTGGGGTTAAAACAAAAACACATTCATGTGACATAACTGGGTTATTTAAGAAACCAACATTCTCACTACAAAATCCTGTCTCCAAAAAAAAAAAAAAAAAACCTGCTCAAAACCTTATGTAACTCCAGCCCAAGAGTGATCCAATATTTTTGACTACTGTGGGCACTAACAAACGCCCCCCAACACACACACATACACTCACACAGTTAATAATAAAATTTAAACAGGGCTGCAGTGATGGCTCAGTGGTCAAGAACACTCATTGCTCTTCCAGAGGACAGGGGTTCAGCACCCACATGACAGCTCACAACTGTCTATAACACCAGTCCCAGAGGATCCAACATCCATTCTTGCCTCCTGAGGGCACCAGGCACACACACAGTGCACAGACATACTTCAGGCAAAACACTCATACACATAAAATAATTTTTTTAAAGATTTATTTATTTTATGTATACCATTGCTCTTTTCAGACACACCAGAAGAGGGCATCAGATCCCATTACAGATGGTTGAGAGCCACTATGTGGTTGCTGGGAATTGAACTCAGGACCTCTGGAAGAGCAGTTGGTGCTCTTAACTACTGAGCCATCTCTCCAGCCCTAAAATAAAATTTTAAAAAATAAAATATTGTAAAAGGGAGCAGGTATTCACCTTTGCTCTTTTATTCATTCCCACAGTTGAAAACTTGTGTTCTGTCCCTGAGAGTTGGGGTCCTTTCAGTGAGTGGGTATATGGGCAGTTGGGAGCTAAAGAATACCACAAAGTCACATAATGCAAGAAACCTCACACAGAAGATTTATCTGGGAGAAACACAGAATGGTGGTGGTCTCTAAGCAGGAACAGTGATGACAGTGGGCTGTTCAGTGGGTCTTAGAAGCTTGTGCAGTGAGCTAGTAGAAGAGTTTTCCCACGGTATTGCTTGGTTGTTTACCTTGAGTCATGGTGGAGAGGATTTCCATGTCCTGGATTTCGGGAAAGGTTACGGCATGATAATTTTCCATTGGACTGGTACCCTCCACTTGGACTGGCCAGAATGTTCATAGAATCAAAAGTACCACCCTTTTTGTTTTGTTTTTTCCTGTTCCGACTGAAGAGATAGAAATTCCACCTCTTTATATCCCAAGCAGACCAATGGGAGGAGCACGGGAAGCCAGGAGAGCCTGACTCCCTTGTGAGGGAAGCAAGGAGGCCAACTCTATCTAGTACACCTGGCCCTTCACTCCAGGAGTTATCTCACAGATGAAGAAGCCAGGCAGTCATTATCTGAGGCTACAGGAGCATACTCTGCTCCTCCCCTAAGGGAAACACCAACAGACTCTGGTTACACACAGATAGATGGGGATGGGGAGGAGACACCTTTGCCCCATTCATGGCATATGTCCTGTTCTCTGCCAGTGACTTGTATAATTGGGAGACCCCAAACCCTCCATTCTCTAAAAAGCCACGGGCCCTTATCAGTCTATTGGAAACTGTCTTTTACTCTCACCAATCAACCTGGGATGACTGCCAGAAACTCTAGGCCACCTTCTTCAGCTGAGGAGTGAAACAGGATCCAGCTGGAAAGTAGGAAACTGGCTCTGAGGCCTAGTAGGGCATCCGTGTTGGATAGTGATGCCCACACAGAACAAACCTTCCCATATACCTGGCCAGCTGGGACCCAAAACCAGGGAAAATAAGGGAGTTTTGGACATGTTGACATGCACTATTTGGGGAGCTAAAAGAGGCAGCCAGAAAACCCACCAATCTATCCAAGGTAAGTTACTCAGGGACCTGAGATCATCTGCTGGGCTTCTGGGAGGGTTCCATGAGGCATGTAGGCTATTTACCCCCATATATCCAGATGCCCCCCACCCAAGATCAGCGAGCCACTGCTACTGCCTTAGTCATGCAGTCGGCTCCAAAGATAAGGAGAACGCTCCAGAAATGAGAGGAATTCAGAGGATCAATGGGTCCCAACTCTTAGAAATTGTTCAGAAAATTATAATAATTGAGATTCAGCTGAAGACGGGAAGGAAGGAAACTCCTGTGCAGTGATTACTGCTTTAAGGAAAATAGACAGGAGAGGAAATAGACCAGGAGAAAGAAAGAAAAGGTTTGGAGAAAGACCAACATGCCTATTGTAAGCAGATGGTAACTGGAAGAATGAATGTCCTAGTGGAAAGGAAGAAGAGAGAGGGCTAGCCATCACATTCTCTAGCTAGCTGAAAACTGACAAGTCAGGGCTCCATTCACCTTAGCCCTGGGAGCCCAGGATGACTGACCACAAGGATGGAAGCAAATCTTTTAACTTCCTGATAGATACTGGGGCAGCCTGCTCTGTCTTCAGAACCTCTTGGACCCCTCACTTCTAAAACAACAACAAAACAATGCTCCAGGTAGCATCAGACCAAACCACCAATTTTACATGGATGACCTCCTGTGAACCTAGGAAAAGATACTGTGACTCCTTCTCTTCTAGTTATACCACACTGATCAAACCCATTGATTGAAAGGGACTTATTAGAAAAATTCAGAGTCACCATCTTTTGGGGGAGAACTTGGCTAGTCTAACTCTGGACTCAGTCCAAACCCCTACCAACATTCTGGGTACCTGTCCTCTGTCTGAGAGGTTCCTTTTATATGAGAATTCAGCCACAACAAAGGAAGAGAAAGCTACCTACGGGAACTCAAAATAAGGTATTCTGACGTTTGTCCTAAGGGGGATCCACCCAGCTTAGCACCACGATGGCTGCCCGTCATGCATCATAGTTTGATTAGTAAGTTCTATGACACTGGTACAGGTTAAGCAATACCACACTGAAGTGGGAATTTCTGGTTTCTTTGAAGACTCAGTCTTGTCATGCGATGTTTTTCTGGAGTAGATAGTTGGAAGAATGTTTTGCTGAAGCAGACACAGGTGGAAGGATGTTTCACTTAAGCAGACGCGTGAGAGGACACATGGTATTTAGAAAGAATATAAATATGACCCCACAGACAGCAGGAGGAGGCTCTAGCCTTGGTTTACCTTGCTCTGACTCACTAGTCTCCACTGACAACACTCATGTATTGGTTACTGATCTTCACAGAGAGTAACTCGCCAAAGAACTTCTCGTGATATCATGGCGGCCTCTTGCTGCTTCTGCTGATTGGGGCCAATTGGCGGAGCCTTGCGGTTTCTTCTGGATCGAACCACCATTGCTGATTTGTGCGTGGTAATTGCTGAGTGGATTAGACTGCTAATAATTCCTGTTAGTGTTTGCTAGAGGACTGG